GGAGGAGGCGCAGCCGTGGCTCCCTGCCTCCAAGGAGGAGAAGATGGAGCTGGACGTGCCGGCGGTGAAAGGTGGGCTGGGCCGGGCTGGGGACACGGCGGGGACGAGCTGGGGGTGTCCCCCTTTTCCCCGTGCCCACGCAGCCCCTGTGCAGTGAAGGAAGAGCCGCGGGAGGAGGAGCCCAGGCCCGCCCAGCCCAAGGGGCCGCCCGGCTTCCCGCGGGCCGTGGCCGCGGCCGAGCTGCTGCAGCGGCTGAGCCTGGCGGCCGAGGAGGAACTGCTGTTCCTGCAGCTCCCCGACACCCTGCCCGGCCAGCCCCCCAGCCACGACACCAAACCCTGCAAAGCCGAGCTGCACAGCGAGGACGGCCAGGTGCTGCTGGTGAAGCAGGAGAAGAGCCAGGTAGGGCCACGCTCGGGGTGTCGCCTCAGCCCATCCCCTTCGGTGGAGTCATCTCTGCCAAGCCCACGAGGATGTCGCCCCATCCCATGGTGTTCCTTCCAGCCATGGTGTCCCTCCATGCCGTGGTGTCACTGTCCCCCCATCCCCTGGTGTCCCTCCATTCCGTGGTGCCCTTTCCAGCCATGGTGTCCCTCCATTCCGTGGTGTCACTGTCCCCCCATCCCGTGGTGTTCTTTCCAGCCCATCCCATGGTGTCCCTCCATCCCATGGTGTCACTGTCCCCCCGTGGTGCTGTCCCATCAATCCCATGGGCTGATCCAAATCCCCTGGGTTGATCCCTGTGCTGTGATCCCAGTCCAGTGGGGCAAACCCAGTCCTATGCTGTGATCCCAGTCCCCAGAGCTGATCCCATGGAGTGATCCCAGTTCTGTGCTGTGGACCCAATCCTGAGGGCTGATCCCAGTCCCCAGAGCTGATCCCAGTCCCGAGGGCTGATCCCAGTCCCCAGAGCTGATCCCAGTCCCAGTGAGCTGATCCCAGTCCCCTGAGCTGATCCCAGTCCCCTGAGCTGATCCCAGTCCCCAGAGCTGATCCCAGTCCCAGTGGGCTGATCCCAGTCCCAGTGAGCTGATCCTAGTCCCCAGTGAGCTGATCCCAGTCCCATGGGGCTGATCCCAGTCCCATGGGGCTGATCCCAGTCCCAGTGAGCTGATCCCAGTCCCCAGAGCTGATCCCAGTCCCCAGAGCTGATCCCAGTCCCATGGGGTTGATCCCAGTCCCCAGAGCTGATCCCAGTCCCCAGGGCTGATCCCAGTCCCAGTGAGCTGATCCCAATCCCGAGGGCTGATCCCAGTCCCTGGGGCTGATCCCAGTCCCAGTGAGCTGATCCCAGTCCCAGTGAGCTGATCCCATTTCCCAGGGCTGATCCCAGTCCCAGTGAGCTGATCCCAGTCCCGAGGGCTGATCCCAGTCCCAGTGAGCTGATCCCAGTCCCATTGAGCTGATCCCAGTCCCCAGGGCTGATCCCAGTCCCATGGGGCTGATCCCAGTCCCCAGGGCTGATCCCAGTCCCCAGAGCTGATCCCAGTCCCCAGGGCTGATCCCAGTCCCCAGTGAGCTGATCCCAGTCCCCAGGGCTGATCCCAGTCCCATGGGGCTGATCCCAGTCCCCAGAGCTGATCCCAGTCCCCAGAGCTGATCCCAGTCCCAGTGAGCTGATCCCAGTCCCGAGGGCTGATCCCAGTCCCAGTGAGCTGATCCCAGTCCCCAGAGCTGATCCCAGTCCCCAGAGCTGATCCCAGTCCCATGGGGCTGATCCCAGTCCCCAGAGCTGATCCCAGTCCCAGTGAGCTGATCCCAGTCCCGAGGGCTGATCCCAGTCCCCAGAGCTGATCCCAGTCCCCAGAGCTGATCCCATTCCCCAGGGCTGATCCCAGTCCCATGGGGTTGATCCCAGTCCCCAGAGCTGATCCCAGTCCCATGGGGTTGATCCCAGTCCCCAGAGCTGATCCCAGTCCCCAGGGCTGATCCCAGTCCCGCTGTGCCCTGGCAGGAGGCGAAGCAGGCTGAGAACACCTGCACCCTGGCCGACCTCCCCGAGGGCCAGGTGGGGAAGCTGCTCATCCGAAAATCAGGAAAAGTGCAGCTGGTGCTGGGCAAGGTCACCCTGGACGTGACCATGGGCACCCCCTGCTCCTTCCTACAGGTATGGAAGTGATCCCGGCACCCAATTTCGGGGGGTTTCACCCCAATAAAACCCCTCAGGCCATCGTGCTGGCTCTTGGGCATCCCTCCCCTGTGAGAAGGGTGGGGAAGGGTCCTGCTGGATGTCACAGGGGTTCCTGTGGCAGGGGGCTGCTCAGGGCTGTTTGTGCCCCCTGGGACAGGAGCTGGTGTCCGTCGGCATCGGGGACAACCGCACGGGCGAGATGATCGTGCTGGGCCACGTCAGGCACAAACTCGTCTGCTCCCCGGATTTCGAGGCTCTCCTGGAGCACCGGCACCGGTAGCCGAGGGGGTCCCAGCCCCCTAAAACCCCCGGGAGGGACCCTCAGCCCTTCCAGATGTGCCTTTGGGACGTGGGGAGGGGGCTGGGGCAGCTGTGGGGCAGAGCCAGCTCCTGCCAGCCCCGCAGGGTGTCCGGCTGTGTGCCCCGCACCCATGGCTTCCCCCCAGTGCCAAACGGGGAGCTCGGGGTGTGGGGGGTCCTGGTGTGTCCCCCCAGCCCTGTGGTGGGAGCAGGACAAACGTCCTGGGGGAAAAACCTGGAATAAAAACCTCTTTTGCTGTGTCA